GTTGGGACTGTCAGGCAGTATGAGTGTTCACACCGTCAAAGCCGTTCTCTGCCTTGTTGCGCATGCGACAAAAAGTGGTAGAAAACGAGTAATACGAACGATATGATACAGTCATATCACTTGCTCGCTTTAACAACTGGTGGAGAACGGGTTTGGCACCGCGTTAAGCTATACCGCCTGACACGCCCAACCGTTCGCAGCAAACTATGCGCTATATTCATGCAGAGCACCACAGCCGCTTCATATCAGTCCCTTCGCTTCATATTTTACTTCGCAAATGAAGCAATACGAGCATCAGGTACGGTCGTCCATTTGTGGGCGGGCGGGCGCGGTGGGCGTCCGGGTCAGTATGTTGCAGCATGATAGGTTCTAGTAAGGGTACCTTCCTCGTGAAAGGGCGACGCATTGCCTGCACAGGAGCTTCACAATCTGTCCTATTATGCGTATTAATCCTACTTGTCTTAGGGATTTATCTTGCCATTCTCTTCAAGGGAACGGTTCGCGATGACTCATGCAAATGCAGAAGACTGCGGGGAAAGGTGGCGTGGTCCGCGATGCACAACTTTGCACCAGATTCGCAGCGGAAATTGTAAGATAAAGGCGCTAAAGCGCTATCACTTTAGCTTAGGTGGCCGTAGAATATATGATAAAGAATCGGTTGACTGGACTCGTTCTGAATGGTTTCGTCACCTTGTGCTCGCACTTTACTCAAGACCAGAGATCTCATAATAGGAACCTATCCGTTTCCGTTTCCTTTACCATTTTTCCGTCACTGTGGAACCCCCTAGCTACTTTCCTTCCGTATTTCAACACTACTACAGTCCTCATCATTACGTACTGTCGGGGCGGCACAGCCGCGCTGCACTGTGACGCGACAGCGGCTGCGGCTCGGTGACGGTGAATCAGCTGATTTCGATGGAATTCGGCTGCAAATTCCTACTTTTTTAGCTCTTCAAGCCTCTAAAGTGGAATGTGAGTTGACCACTTTGCATTGTACTGGCTCTGATTTCCTTTATTTTTATGTCGATTTTTATGCTCTTTTCCTTGTTTGCCTTATTTCAGGCATTTATTCGAATGGCTCACATTCTTTCAGATTCATTCAGAGTCAGTACAATTCAAAATCACCGACACTTTGTATCTATATTTGTAGGTCTATGTATGTATCGAGTGGACGTTATGGCGCGGACCGCAAGTATAAGCGTTCGCTAAGGAGTGCATGATCCGCAGGGTTCCTGTATCTGTTATTATTCGACCACTATGAGCAGCCCAGTGATTGAAAGAGTTCCATTTCCCTGGCGAAGCCAGCCCAGCTCGGCGAAGCCGAGCTCAAAAGAAGGAGAGCTCGGCGTCAGCCGGGGCGATCCGACTGGTAAAAAGATAATTTGAACAGATACGCTCACCTCCGTGGAGCTCAGCCCTCGACATGTGCGAAGTGGCCGGGTCTGCAGCTGCAACAATGCACAACGCTCTCCATTCAAAAAAGCGGGAACGAAGGTCGGCAATGTCCGGGTGCCATCTCGAGATCCCGCACGACCAGTCACACGCCTAACCGCAGCCGAACACGCTTCTTGTCTGCGCTCTCGCACTTCTGATGTTCTGTACCTGTGAGTGCATCGCAAGTGCTGCAACTTGAGGATGGCTTGAGGAGAGCCTGGGACGCCCAACTCTTCAGCTTCATTTCAGCGCGCTCTCAAGTGACAAAAAAGTTGCACTTGTACAGCTGGCAGGTCTGGTCATGTAGTCTTTGGCCGGCCTTCTGTTACTGTAACTGACTAGGGTGCCGGGTGTGGCCAATGGAAATGGGTCGGGCCAATGAGAGGAACAACGGCATCGTCGGCTTCCTGACTCGCTTTGACGCCGTCAAAATGGTGCGTACTGCCTCTGCGGGCTTGTCTGCCTGCCCACGAAGGCAGAGGGAAAATGTCAATTGATGCGAGCACTGCATTTGATTGCCAGCCGATCACCACGTACGACTGCGACTCAAACATCGATTACTTCCGTCCCATACAGTTTTAGAAACAGGGAGGTTTTGTAATCCATTAATTAGTCATCGAGAAAATGCTTCAATTAGACTCGTAGCTTGAAAACTAGCAGTTGTTGTGGTAGCACGGTAGCTTTTCAATTTAAATAGTTCCAGTTAATCTTTGTGCACTCCTTTCAGCGCGATACTTTTTGCAATTGCTGGAGCTCTAGTTGTCTCCGGAGGTCTAGTCTCCTTTTCGCTATGGATGCTTTCAAGAAGAGCGCGAGGTCGGTGTTTGTTTCTCCTTATCATTCAAAAGTGTGGTGAAAAAACAGTGTGAGACTTGATTGTGCCAACTCTGCCATTGAACACTTTCCTTTGCTTTACTACTGGCTAACCGTCACACTGCGAGCATCCCGTTGTGAACCCTTGGCTGCATTAGTACTTATAGTCAGTCGCAGCGTCCAGTAGCGTACGAGCGTCATCGACGGAAAGTATAAATATCGATCTAGCGCCTGACAGCGTCTGTCAGCGCCCTCTAGCGTCTACTAGCGCGCGTCAGCGTCTCACAGCGTCCACCAGGGTCTCGAGGGCGTGGTGAAGTGTGATATCAATTCAGCGTCTGCCAGCGTGCACCAGGGTCTGCCAGCTTGCTGAAGAGGAGTGTATGGCGCGATATCCCATACCACCCACCTATCTCCCCATACTGTACCAGCTGTCTGCTACCTCCTATCGCGCCATACTCTCTACCAGCAGTCTGCCACCCTCCTATCTCCCCATACTCTTCAGCTGTCTGCTACCCTCCTATCGCGCCATACTACCCTCTCCCGGATGCTGGTGGACGCTGGTGGATGCTGCCGCAAAGCATTAACGCACCATTATGAAACTGTTCACTGAGAAAACATCCGTGCCGTACTCTTGGCCTGCCGTTTTTCATACAGCACCGATCCCTTCCTATTTCCACTCATCAATGACCAACTTATTAATGCTCTACTATCACTCTTCTAACAGCATCCACCATTTGTCGGAAATACGGACAGTTTAGTGATCAGAGACACTCAGATGGTATCAGTATCGAAATGTAAATGATCAGTAAAATGGAAAGGTTCAACAGCAGTGGCAAACCGGTCTAAACATAGTGGCTCATATCACTGTTCACTGACAAACATCACTGACCAAGTGTATTTCCTTTTTTCGAAGATAGAACTTTGAGCGGCTGAATCGGTTCCGATCTACCAGTTCAGGAAGAAAGCGGTACAGGTCAACAATGATGACCTCAAGGATGACTAGACGGGTGACGTCAGGGGACTTACCCGAAGTTGGTGAAGTGTACTATCGATAAGCGATGTTTGCTGTAAAATTCATGACAAGGTCCCGAGACAATTTGAGATGGGGGAGAACGGTGGAGAGAAAGAATATCTGACGAAAGTTGGGCTGGGTATGGTGCACCCACTGAAAACCAAAAATTCAGGAATCCTTAAGCAATCCATGTCCAACTGAATCGCCATCAGAGGCCTGAACATGTTTCAGGGTCAAGTCGTTTGTTTCGGTTTTCTGATTGTTTTAGGATAACAACTTACCCTACCAAGCACTACGCAAGCTTCAGCGGTCCGTCGTCGTATTAGGATCATCAAGAGAAATTCCCACACTTTAAACTCGAAAAGACATCCGATATCACAAAAACTATTCAACAAGTGTTACACCGTTTGGTGGCAGTTGGCACAGTGTCTGAGGCGGGCGGTTGCTGTCAACTTCAGGTGGAAGGGAGGGCTGGATGGGTTATTATTCATCAAGCGCCCTCTCACACCCCTCCACCAATGAGGCTGCTGGCGACCGGCCGCCCCCTCCCGCCATTGTTCCAACTGTCTTCAAGCGGAATCGTTTGCTGCTTGTCACGTGAGAGCGCTAGCCAGTTGTGAATAAGCAAAGCTATTGTCACCTGGACAGTTGGTTCTGGGCTTCATGAAAGCTAATTATCAGTTCTCGCTGTTTTCAGCCAAGTTAGCCGATGAAGAAGGGGAGGTGAGTCGCAAAGTGGCTTTTGAATCGATTCATTCATAGGAAATCTTTGTAAATATTAGAATCCAATAATATTTCAGTCAGGAATATCACCGCAGAAGATGGACTCTGAAGTCTATAAACCTGAGCGAGTTCCAAGAGAAAGGCCCATTAGTTATGCAAGCGAGAATGAAAGGCAAAATAGTGTGTTTCTTCGTAAATATTTGGGATTTTTAGCTGTCAAAAGTTGCGCTTTCTAGAAACATGCACTCGACGACGACAAGTCGTTTAGTTTGAAAGAGATTCAATTTCATCCGCAATACAACGAGATCTGCATTATTGGATCTGATATCGAACAACTTGAGGGTGTACGTTAGTTAGACTACCAAATATTTACCATACTACTCATAACTCCTCAAATGAATAGTATTCAGATGTCACAGATGTCTGTGCTCTCAGGAGAGAAGTCTGCAGAGGCTACAAAGATTCCAAAGGTACATTGTTCCGTTTAACGTCATGCAAGAGCAACCAGTGGATAACGTGAGATACTAAGCGTAAAAAGTGGATGGCATAAGAGGCTAACAGTAGACCCGGCAGAAAACGTTCAGGAGTGGTGTAAGTGTCCCGTGAGGTCAGGTCACCATCACCCCCCCCCCCAAGCGGTATATCTCATCGTGGGGGCAGTAATCATGTCTAGTGAAGTTACTCTTATACTTTAGTAGCACTTTGCTATACTGAATTACTCAAGTGCATTCTAACGAATGCCACTGGTCTGAGAAAATTGTTAGAGGTATAATTGAAAACTTGAAATTTTATCGAAAGAATACTCTCAAGGCTGCGTTCGTACTTTGCGGCAGCGTCTAGCAGCGCCCACCCGCGACCATTAGCGTCTCGAGGGCTAGGGAAATGTAAGTAGCGATCTAAAGTCTGCCGGAGCTGCTACAGTGTACCAGCGTCTACCAGCTTTATTGATATCTACACTTCCCAGCAGTTGACGCTGCCTTATGCTCGGAACGCTAGTGGTCGCTGTTGGACGCTGCCATAAGGTTTCAAAGGGTTCTACGACATCGTCGACATGAGAGACCCATAGAACAGTTGACAAGTTAAGCCTTCTACGTCCCGAGGGCGGGCGACAAATGGGTACCGTATCCATCCTAGTGTACAAACAGGCTCATTTAACAGCGAGCCCTTGCAAGTCTTTTTATAGGCTGTTTTGCTTTCGAAAATAATGGCGATTTCCAGTGGAAATAAAGGATATGTCCCACCATAAAAAAAGCTTGATCGACTGCGAACCTTCATCCTATTTATTTGATCTGTATTTTGAGATGCAGCGGTCACGTAATCTTGTTATTGTTTTAGGGCGCCAGGAAAGGCGCTTACCCTACAATGTCAACAGAGATGAAGAGACAAGAAGCAGAAGCAGCAGCTAGAGAAGCTCAACGTGTGCGGGAAAATGAACGCCGAATAGCTGAGAGTGCCATCCGTCGCCGTGCTCGAGAGCATGCAGCAGCAGCAGCTGCTGCTGCTGCAGCCGCCGCTTCTGCATCGCAAACACCGAGTGACAGAAGCAGGCAAGAAACTTCTAGCCCGAGCCCTGACGTACTCTCACAAAAATCACAGAAATCCATTTCTAGAGGCTTGCCGGCCATCGATAAAACGCAGCATAGTCAGAAAAGTGTTTCCAAGAGAGCGAGGAGTAGGCATGACACACTGCAGAAACCTCCAGCTCCCCCTTACTATCTGCCACGATCTTCATTAGATGACCACAAAAGGGTGCGTGCTCCTGTAGCGCCAAGAAAAAGACCGTCTAATGATGGCAGACACCCTGACGCTCTTGGAGCAAGTAAAATAAAGTCTAATCCATCAAGTTTGTCCCAACGCGCGACGGATGACAGCCGGTCAGAGCAAAAGACGCCCTCCACAAAATCTGATGTTCCCTCCACACATTCTACAAAGTCTGAAGCGAGACTGGGATCCGGTCCGCCTTCTACTAAATCTGAAGTGAAGCTGGATTCTGGTCCACCTTCCAAATCTGAAGTGAAGCAGCGGTCTGATCAACGTACACGACGAGGTCGACAGGAGAAGTTCTGAAGTCAGAAGTCGCCACATTCATGAGCAGCTTTGCTATACACACAAAAATCGTCCTAGTAAAATACCCAACCATACTTTCCATATTAACTGTTATATATAAACGCGAAATGCAATAAAATTATTTCCGTTGAGCTTATAGAGGCATTGTTAACAGCTCCTTGTCAAGCCTTTTCGCTAAATTATGTGATATTTCTTTAAAATGAATATTTTCTGCTGATTTCTTCATGACAGTGTGAACGAAAGGCCACAGCTATTGCGAAAGGACATTAATGCTGTTTGCCGTCAAGAAAGAGAACCAGCCTTCCTGTTCGTTGTTCGAATATTAATTGAATCTAAATTTTTCTTTGTAGGATTCCACCCCCCCCGCCCACTCCTCTTGGCCGTTGATAATTCTTAAAATTCACTCAGATTTGAAACTTGCGATAGGGGAGCTTGAGATCCTGAAGCGGCTCAAGCGAGTGATAGGTAGAATAGTTCGGCGTGACAAAGAGATCGATGTGAATAGTCGCAGGCAATAGCTGGCAACAAAACCCAACACATTTTTTGAGATTCACCTTTCTCATTATAGCGAAAGCTACAATACCGTACGTATTCGCCACTGTTATTGTGACGTCCTTGCCAGCATTGGAGTACTATGGATGCTAGCACTTCCCAACGCAGGCTGTCGCAACGCAACTTTGGACGTCTTTTCGATTTAAACTCAGGCTCTGGCAGTTAAACATCTTCCACCTATCCCATGAGGTAGGGGAAACAGTGAGTTGTTCAGAGACAGTGCCCGTGCTCAACTAGGTGGCATTCCTTCCTTGATTAAGTATGTGTTCCAATACTGTCCCACTTTCGTTGCTTCAGAGTAAGTAATGATGGCGATGCGGCCCTCATAAGTGGCAGTTCTGACACAACCATAGTTACAACACCGCCAACTAGCTCAAAGGCTACTCTATCTGTCATGAGTTCAGTTTTCACGCCCTGGTGTTCTTGTTTTTTTTCACTGCTAGATATTATAGTATTAGCATTCAATTAAGCGAAGGAGCGACTAGTGAGATACACGGCGCGTCATCGCCTTGTGATCATTTTCCGCTAAATACGACCCCCCCCCCATGTCACGAGGGAACAAACGAAAAGAAGAAGGACTCAAAAAAATCTCGCTGAAACTTTGTCTGTAGATGTTATTCGATGTCCTGATCACGAGTATGACATCATTTCTCCATACCAGCGCTATTTAGCGCTCTGCTGAGGCTGAAACTGGGAAAAGGAAAGATTCCTCTCAGGCCAGGCTCAGTCTTAGCAAAGCGCAGATGACCATAGTGTCGTACGTTAACGCCGGCGCCAAGAATAAATGTCATATTCGTAGTCAGGATGTCAAATAACCCCCGTATACAAGTTTTCATCGATTTTGGTGATTTAGGGTATTTTGGCCCCGGCGCCTGTGGCGCGGCGCCAAAATACCCTGAATCACCAGAATCGATTGAATCGATAAAAATTCGATAAAAAGCGGCCTGATTTCGGCAGACTGGGATAGGAATAGTTCAATAGCGCCAAAAACTACAAAACAAGACTAGAAAACTCAATAAGAAACAAAAGGAAACTAAAAACACTATCAAACAAATGACGAGAAAAAAAATAACTCACAAGAAATACTAGGAGCCAGGATGCTAACATAGTTGGGAGGGGCCACGCGGCTCGCGGCGAGACTCATCGGCATACTTGAAACGCGAATCTAGCAGCCAAATCAGAATAAAACAAACAAGATTCACCGGGAACTTGCTGAAGAATTCCACAGAAGCTAAAAATTTGATTTTTTGTAGTCAACAATAACAGTCAACGATAAACAACAAAATTTTGTAGTTTAGGCAAGAACCTTGCAGCCTAAAACTGTTTCTTTGCACTTTTCAGTGTTAACTGTTTTAACTTTTGAATATAGCTAGGGCGAAGTTATATTCATGTCCTAAACACGAAATTACTTCTTTGCCGACAGGGCACGCCATTGCGTTGTGATCATTTCCTAAAAAATACGACCCCCCTCCAAGTAAGGGTCTTGATACGACCCCCCCCCTGTCACGAGGGTAGAAACGAAAAGAAGAGCAAGGATGAAGAAATTGACAATAAAGAGAACTAGGCATTATTGAACTATTCCTACCCCAAGAACTCAAAAAAATTTTCGCTGAAACTTTGTCTATCGATGTTATTCGATGTCCTGATCACGAGTGTGACATCATTTTCCATACCAGGAGTCTCTACCGTGCAAGGAGTCAAGGATAGTCGAATGCAAGCGCCCTTTAACCGCCTGATCGCGTCCGCATCAAGAGAGAGTCCACCACGAAGTAGAATCACAATAAAAGCAACCCTTCTCAGTACAACACTCCATTCCTTGATTACAAACAAATACCCACTGATTCCGGGCGCATTTCTTAATACTATGCCGACCACCAGCATACCTAGGAGACTTGGCAGGCGACATAGTTGTGTGAAATATCCAACAACAACCCCAAGGGATACAATAACTAATAATGAATAAATGGAATTGGCGTAGTTATTTGACGTCGGAACAGTCGGCGGCTCAGAAAGTGACTTGTTGTGCACCGAAGTTTCTATTATAGCATTGCTAGAGATGAATGCAAAAATAACAAATACAACGTAAGCACAACAGCTGGAAACCACAACTGAATAGAGAGCCGGCAATTTTTGTCTTCGTTCTGATTCTGATGATGACTCAGTGGTGAATTCCAACCGCTCTTCAGTAGAATCCATATCAGGCTACAGTACTAGTACTAAGAATGCTAAGTACGAAACATGGTGAAGCTCAAGTGTTGTTGTCAGCTCAAGTTGTCAAAGTGCGTTTGAATAGCGATTGCTCGCGGTCAACCGCACGCGAGCAGTGCAATTCCCACGCTAATACAAGCTCACTGGAGCGCGTTATTTTACGACCTGGGATCAATTTCAAGCCAAACACTCGAAAGTACCCCTTTTTTGAACACCTATAACTTCGTTGAAAGTAAAACTCTCGGAGAGGGGGAAGTGGGAATGAGTAGAGCTAGGTTGGCTCTTGTTACCTGGATTGAACGATTTCTGAAACATTTCCTTTCTAGAAAGTTTCACCGTTGTGATCCTCTTGTGATCCTCTTGTGATCATGGGGGGCCAACCACAAGTCGCCACGCTTTGGACATCCATGGCAAGCTTCATACACGGCCTTTCGAAAAAAAGAACTGTGCCGGACGCACGAAGCTTTCTACTTTCCAGCACAACTTTCATTTTATCGCTAGGCCTGCTATTCGAAAAATTTCCCCGTTGTGATCATAAAAAAACCACTCCCCACGGCCCGAAAAATCAACCCCTCCGACGCCAGAAAATCTCCAGTTGGCTTTAAGACATTGGTATGCTTCTAAAACGCATGTTTTTGCCAAGGATACCAGGAAATAGTTCATTGGACGCCAATTGGCATCACCTCTGCATTGCGCCATGCATAGCGCTTTCACGCAGAGCTATTGGGAAGGTACAACTTCTAGAAAGGGCGTAAATGTGATTGCACGGTCAGAAAGGCTCGGAAGTGTATTTTCATCTGTTCACTAGTTCATGGCGGATATTCATTGGCGCGGGGTGGTGTAGTGACAAGTGGCGCGCTTACCACTCGCGCGATGCCGGGTTCAAATCCCGGGTCGACTTTCGCCTAGGCCAACCAAGCCTTCTACCCTCCGGGGACGGTAAGATGGTACCAGATTCGCCTGGGAGGATAAAACACTGATTTGTACATCGGCTGGCCACCGCAAGTCATTGTATAGGCCACATCGCATTCAATAAGCCACTGCGATTCTGAATGGAAGTAGAATGCGTGCATCCCACAAAGGGTTGATCAACGGCGAAGACTTTATCCTTTATCTTTTAATATTAATTCATGACGTAATATAATTATAATATCATAATTATAATTTAATATTAATTCATATCAACTGTCATCGCCCGTTCCCCATTTCTGCGCTGGCAGGTTGCTTCTGTCTTGTGTGGGTCTCTTCAGAGGTCCTTCACATGGATAAGTCTTTCATCATTGAAGCTGAACGACATGGGTATCGCTGCACCCTCACTTCAGAAAGGTCCCCGCGCTTACGACCCCCCCTCCCTCGAGGTCAAATACGACCCCCCCCCCTGTGTGATATCACAACGATGGTCGTGCCCTGTTTGCCGAGGGGGGAGCAGAAGAGCAGATGAGTCATCGCTCGCCGCAAGCCGCGTGGCCGCACCCAACTACGGTAACGCCGAAGCCAGAACTATGGATTAGCTTTTGAATATTAGTTGTTCGCGGTCATTCAAAGGTGAGCGCGCTAATACAAAGGGATTGGAGCGAGCTATTTTACGACCTGGAGCCAGTTTCAAGCCAAACACTCGAAAAGTACCCCTCACTTGAACACCCATAACTTATTTGAGAGTAAAGCTTTCGGAGAGGGGAAAGCAGAATGAGGGAACTAGGTTGGCACTTGTTACCTGTTTTTGAGCAATTTCAAAACTATCCTTCTCAAGAAATTTTCCGATCCTCTTGTGATCATGGGGGGTCAACTACAAGTCGCTACGCTTTGAACATCCATGGCAAGCTTCACAGGGCCTAGAATATAATAGAAGAAAAATAGGAATAGCATCATCTCTGCAATGCGCCATGCATAGCGCTTTCACGCAGAGCTATTGGGAAGGTGCAACTTCTAGAAAGGGCTTCCTCCGTGCAAGTAGATGTGCTTCTGCGATAGAAAGGTCCGGAAGTGTATTTTCATCTGTTTATTAATTCATGGCGGATATTCATTGGCGCGGAGGTGGTGTAGTGACAAGTGGCGCGCTTACCACTCGCGCGATGCCGGGTTCAAATCCCGGGTCGACTCCCGCCCAGGCCAACCAAGCCTTCTACCCTCCGGGGACGGTAAATTGGTACCAGATTCGTCTGGGAGGATAAAACACTGACTTGTACACAGGGAAAATCGTTGTGCGAAACCCATAGGGGGGTCGTACTTGGCCGCTGGGG